AGAGAACATTGCAGTAGTCTAAACGGGATGTAACCAGAGCGTGGACTACCGTGGCCAAGTCTGGCTTCTTTCTCATGCAACCATCCTATTTTGGTGACATCTTAAATTAGTTGTGTTCACATTCAGCTGGAGGGATACACAGAGCATGAGCATGAATAAGCAGAGTTAGGAAGGTAAGTTTTAGATGTATGTTTGATATCTTTCTTGGAATCAGTTATGGCAGCTGCCTTATACTTATTCAATCTATGAATCAACTAGGTCATGATGGGGACCCTTTCCCTGTTTATCAAGCATCTTTGACCTGAAGCAAGATAATAATCAATAGGGTCAATTTCCCATTCCTGTTATATTCTTCACCCTTTACTTCTGCTTCCTAAGAAGGTCATGTTGTCTAGTGATTACAACTCAGACAACTCACAGTGCACAATTCTTTCTGCTGTGCATCCAAATTACACTGTAAAAAGGAGGCATATTCTCTATCATTTTCCTTCTCACAATGGGATTTCCTCAGAGATATGAGCTACAGTAACTAGACATGTAAATTAAGCCCATGTTTACCTTCCAGTGACCTATTGAAAGCAAAACATGCTGCCAAATGCAAGAGACAAAGGTATGAACAATCACCTGCAATGACAAACTAATGTGTTTCATCACTTGGGGTATCACCTCCGAGAAAATTTTGATAAACATATTATCTAATTTGATTCTCAAGATGCAGTGTGGCACCACTTTAACTGTCAGGACTCAATGTTATGAAATCCCAAATTCTACCAAAAATGCCAAGAATAATATCTGAGAGGTTCCAACATTGCACTACAACACTTTCTTGCCTCTGCATTCCTCCTCCTAAAGCATAAAAAGTATAGCACTGAAATACTTTCCTGGGAATAAGGCCAAATGAACACATTAGGTTTTATCTCCACACAGAAAAGCACAGGATATGCATTGGACCCCATCAAGATCTACCCTTGTAGCCCTGCTGCCTACTATTTCTGCCCCTTGACTATGATGGGTCAGTTTCCTTTAATATGGAAACCCAGATAAACACCTCCACATTATATATCTCAGTGACAATTCGTTGTTGGGAAGTAGGACCAAATATCATTAACAACAATACACCTTTTGTACCCAGTGTTTCATAAGAGTAATCCCCCAGCCACTTCCATTTACCTGCCTCATCTTCAGTCCCCACATTGAGCCGCTGACATCAATAACAAAGAGGATGTTTTTTGGCAGAGGATCCAGATTATCAGGAGCAAAGTAGTGGATGAAATAGCCATTAAAGATCTGCAGAATTAAACCAGGGAGAAAAATAAATTCATACATTTCAGTTCAGAGGAACGTTTTCATAGGAATACAAAAGAATGCCAAAAGATTGTTCCAATGACGAGCAGCAATTACTCTTCAAGAGATGAAGATGGGATACTTTTCTAGACTTCTCTGGAAATCCCTCTCTCCATTGTGCTTGCCTTTGAGACCTTTGAGCTTTTCAGCCACCTTCCTCTGGAGCCATTCCAGCTTGTCAACATCTTTCCTAAAGTGTGTTGCCCAGAACTGGACACAGCACTCCAGGCGAGGTCTAAACAAGGAATTTCTTTCTTTTTTAATGTTGTGACAGACTAACCTTGCTACTACTTTGAAAACAACTGCAATTGCCATCTTTCTCCTAGAATCATAGAATCAAAGAGTTGGAAGAGACCTCATGGGCCATCCAGTCCAACCCCTTGCCAAGAAGCAGGAATATTGCATTCAAATCACCCCTGACAGATGGCCATCCAGCCTCTGTTTAAAAGCTTCCAAAGAAGGAGCCTCCACCACACTCTGGGGCAGAGAGTTCCACTGCTGAACGCTCTCACAGTCAGGAAGTTCTTCCTCATGTTCAGATGGAATCTCCTTTCTTGTAGTTTGAAGCCATTGTTCCGTGTCCTAGTTTCCAGGGAAGCAGAAAACAAGCTTGCTCCCTCCTCCCTGTGGCTTCCTCTCACATATTTATACATGGCTATCATATCTCCTCTCAGCCTTCTCTTCTTCAGGTTAAACATGCCCAGCTCCTTAAGCCGCTCCTCATAGGGCTTGTTCTCCAGACCCTTGATCATTTTAGTCACCCTCCTCTGGACACATTCCAGCTTGTCAATATCTCTCTTGAATTGTGGTGCCCAGAATTGGACACAATATTCCAGGTGTGGTCTAACCAAAGTGGAATAGAGGGGTAGCATGACTTCCCTAGATCTAGACACTATGCTCCTATTGATGCAGGCTAAAATCCCATTGGCACTGACAATGTCTTCTCTCCTCTTTCCTTCCCGAACATTTGGGTCAGCAGTGTTACCTCTAGTTCTCCAGCTTTGGTCTCTCTTTTAACATCATAAGTCACCACAAAATTGCCATCAATTGTGGTAGAAGAGCAGGTGGGACATTTCTGTTGCTGGGCCACTGTTGGTTTGAAGGACACATGAGCCTTGAAAGAAGAAGAAACAAGAGGTAGGTCTTTTGACAAGTAACTTCTCCAAGTTCTGATAAGAGTTTCATGTACCTCTAAGCAGAGGTTCCATATCCAAGCTCATCTTAACTCCATCCCCACACTTGTCACCCAAGAGTTGCTGGTTAGAAGGTGCTGCTCTTGCAGGACTGGTTCCTTCTCTCCTTCATTACCTTCTTCTCTCCTTTGGTGATAGTAGGAAGGCCCACAGCCTCTTCAGCAGGCAGTTGGGGAACATGAACGAAACTGAGACCCTGAGGCTCAATGATGTGAATGTCCACCTACAGGAAAAGCAAGGGAGAAGGGGCAGAAATCAATACAGTGAAGCATCTCACATGAACTTGGATAATCACCATGAATTATGAACCATAAGGGCAAAGGAAGATAGATGCTTTTGAACTGTGGTGTTGGAGGAAAGTTCTGAGAGTGCCTTGGACTGCGAGAAGGTCCAACCAGTCCATCCTCCAGGAAATAAAGCCCGACTGCTCATTGGAGGGAAGGATACTAGAGACAAAGTTGAAGTACTTTGGCCACATCATGAGGAGACAGCAAAGCCTAGAGGAGACAATTATGCTGGGGAAAGTGGAAGGCAAAAGGAAGAGGGGCCGACCAAGGGCAAGATGGATGGATGGCATCCTTGAAGTGACTGGACTGACCTTGAAGGAGCTGGGGGTGGTGATGGCCAACAGGGAGCTCTGGCGTGGGCTGCTCCATGAGGTCACGAAGAGTCGGAGACGACTGAACGAATGAACAACAAAAGGGCTTTGTGGGAATGAACTTGTGCCCTGAATTAAACTAGTCTTCAGAAATAAACTTGTCCTACATGTTCTCTAAGAAACCAGACAAAGGTCTGATTCTCACATTTTGCATTAGCAATCATTTCCAGGCAGTTCCTCAGGGTATTGTTATTGCTGTGAACCTTCATTTTCTATGTATGGCTGCCTTAAGGTGTTTGCATGGAAAGATAATTTGACATGGCCCGAAGAATTCTTTAAGATTCATCAACCTCTAAATCAATTGTGATGAAATGCTAAAAGTATATAATCTTGCAAAGGGGTTTTTACTGGGCAATTTTTTTTCGGAGTGGGTTTGCCTTTTCTTCCTCTGCAGTTGAAAGAATATGACTTTCCTAAGGTCACCCAGTGAGTTTTCATGACTGAGCAGGACTCAGGTTCTGGTCTCCAGAGTTATGGTCTAGTGCTCAAACTACTACACCACACTGTCTTTACAGCCATCTAAAATTATTTATTTTATTTATCGTGTCAGGAGCAAACCAAACAGTTGTATTGCATTTTTTAACAAACAAACAAAGCACAAAGTTTGCAAGCTTGGTAGTTGATTAAATGTCCTTTGACCAGTAGCTGGCCACTTGGGGTGCCTCTGGTGTTACTATATGAAGGTCCTCCATTGTGCATGTAGCAGGGCTCAGGTTGCATTGCAGCAGGTGGTCTGTAGTTTTCTCTTCTCCACACTCGCATGCCATGGATTCCACTTTGTAGCCCCATTTCTTAAGGTTGGCTCTGCATCTCGTGGTACCAGAGCCATCTAAATGAAAGGTCATTAACAGATCAATTTGACCTTGTCTAGGTTATCTGCAGTCCTGAACAAGTGCACATTTTCTCTTAGGTTGAGAGAAATACATTGCAAAATGTATCAAAATCTATAAGTTATAAGTATGTAGTCTAAAGTAGCCCCAGGACCCAAATTATCCCTCTTTTCCTCTGTCGTCACTAACTGACAGCCTTTCTCTGGGGTTTTAGCCCCACATGCTTCATCTTACCTCCAAGTGCTTGGCCAGCCTGCCTGGCTGCACAGGGATAATGTGCTCGTAGGTTGAGAGTTTCCTTCGGATTGGCTCTTGGTAGTGGATTTCAAACTGGACTTTGGTTCCTCCTGGGACATTGAGTTCAGCTTTGAAGTTTTCCATGTCAAGGGCATTGCTCCTGAATTCAGTAAGGAATACATAAACAACAACTTTCCAATACATCACCATAATGTCACCCAGAAATTAGACGGAGTTTAAAGGATCCCTTAAGATTCACCAGGCTCTAAATAAATTGGTCCAACTCAATTGTTATGGACATAACCTTTGTTTCACCTGTCAAAGCTAACAAATATATTTCCTATTTCATGTTTTGTATATCTGGCATTTAGAAATGAAGAATGAACTGTTCAATATGTCTGATTTACTTACCGCAGTATCCCAGCAGCTTTGCCTTTGGCCCTGGCTTGAGCATACTGACTTCTGGCTGCAGATTTTTCCTTCACCGAACTAGTAAATGTGATTCCATTGACATTCCTGTAAGGGAGAAAACCAGCTCAAAAACAGGACATCTCATCATTAGCGGGGGAAAGTGCAATGACCCCAAAAGGTAGGAGAGTATTTTAATCACAACTTGGGATCGTTGTGTTTGGAAGCATGAGTTCTCACAGATGTCAGACTATATTAAGATACTTAAAAGCTGCAGGGTTTATTATTCTTGCAGTTCCTTATGTGTCCATGTCTGCAGGCCAATTGTTCTATCCTTCTCAGATGCACCTTGGAAAGAACTGTTGAACATCTAGACATTTGGGTATATTCTTCTAAGAGCTCAGGCCTCTAAATACAACAAGGATGAGGGAAATGTACCATCTTCTCCAAGAATCATATTCCTCTCTTTGATTTGAGAAAACATTGGAAAATGTCAACATTTTTATTCAAAAATTAAACAAATTAAATCAAAGGATTTTTTTGGCAAGATTTTTTCAGAAGTGGATTGTCTTTGCCTTCCTCTGAGGCTGAAAGAGTGTCGCCCAATTGGTTGTCATGGCTGAGCCCCAATATAACCCTTAAACTGCTATATTAAATCCCTAGTTTGCTAGGATGCTTCTCCCTTTGAGTCTCATTTTAGGAGCAAGAACAAGATCACACCCCATGTCCATAGGAGATAAATTCCCAGACCTTGAGAGGATGTACAGAACCATGAATTACAGTGAGCCCTATTGAAATTAAGGAACTTCATCCCAAGAACACCATAGTTATACTGGAGGACCTTGAGAGGATATATTTTATTGGACCCTGGCTATTGGTCTCGAAAATATGTTGATCATAGTGTATCCACACCAAGTGAATGAAAAAAAATGAGACCAGCTACTTCATCACATTAGAGAATGAATCCACTTTAAATCCAATTGCTACCTCCTGCAGAATTCTGGGGTTTGTAGTTTAGTGAGGCTGTTAAAGGCTCCTCCCTAAACTACAAACCCCAGAATTCTGCAGGAGGCAGAAACCAGATTTAAGGTGGATTCATTTTCTAGTGTGATGAATCAGCTTTTATTCCTCTTAGCCAAAACTTGGGAATCAATTTGGGTGCTAGACTCATCAATTTGGGAACCTCATCACATGGACCTTGAGAAGTGTTGGGGACTGTCTGTCTAGCAAAGGGATTCATACTGTTAGATACCCAACCATCCCGTTTCAAGTTCTGTCTTTCCATCACACATGTTTCACAGGTTTTTGCCTGTTGTTACCCACCTTCCGAACCATCACACAAGGTATCCTTTTCCCTGCCCTCTTTGTATTGCTTTTTTCCCTTTTAATCGAGGAAAAGTTCAATATCTGAAAGACAAGATTTCTATGGACCTCATCCCAATTGATGGGGAAAGGGGGAGGATTTCAAACCTCTTTACTATGAATGTGATTTTCCTGCTTCTTGGCAGGGGGTTGGACTGGATGATCCACAAGGTCTCTTCCAACTTAATGATTCTATGATTGTCTCCCTCTACATTCCGCCTCATAGTTTAAGATCCACCAGGGAGGCCCTGATCTCGGTCCCACCAGCCTCGCAAACGTGTCTGGTGGGGACGAGGGACAGGGCCTTCTCAGTGGTAACCCCCCCTCTGCTTGTGGAACTCGCTCCCAAGCGAGATTAGATCAGTGTCCTCCCTCCTTTCCTGTAGGAAAGAACTGAAATCGTGGTTGTGGAACCAGGCCTTTGGCTAGCAGAAATATTAACACTTTGGACACTGACCTGGACCATATAATTGTTATAATAATGGAAACGGCTATATGATTGTATAACTAATGTTATTGTTTTTAATCTATTGTGTATTTATGGTTTTATATTGTTCTTCATTGTGATATTGTGGCATCAAATTGTTGCCAGTGTTAGCCACTCTGAGTCCCCCCTCGGAGGTTGGGACGGGTGTGCTAGAAATGTTGTAAATTAATTAATATGATAAGTCTTTCCCATGCCTTTCTTCCCTCCATTATACCACTGCAATTTTAAATCCCTTTGCAACAATCTCCTCTTGCTTCCCTTCATTAGACCAATGTAATTTTAAACCCATTTGCCATGATAAGCCTTTCCCATGCTTTCCTTCCTTCCATTATACCTGTGTAATTATAAACGCCTTTGCCATGATCCCATCCTGCTAAGCTTGGCTTCCCTCCATTAGACCAGTGTTATATAAAAAGCTAGCAAGAGCACAATTTCAAGCCTAGATTTCTTTTAATGACAAAATGCAGTGACAGCAAAATGATGAGGAACGCCCATTCCTCTACATCACCGAAACAATTTAACATGGGTGAACCTGTCAGATCCCATCACATATGTTTTTTGGGATTAGCAATAGTTCTAGTACATGCCAGGAGCTCCAAAGACAATTTCTCATCCATGTTCTATACTCCCTTCTTTCAGCACATTTCAACTCCATTTCAAGGACGAAAGGCAATGGATGACGGCTGGAATCAGGCAAGCGCCATCTGATGGGCTTCATGCCACTTTGTCCTTGAAATGTGTCCTACAACAAGGAAAACACTCCATGTGGTGAGGTCCTAGGTCTCATGAGCCTCAGCTACTTTTGGCTTATGGGAGTTAGATTCCAACAAGACTTGGAAAGGAGATCATTCCCCATGACTGCTCCCTATCTAGTTTGTCTTCATTGCCTCCTAATAACCATTATTCTTGTTTATCTTATACACCAGATGGTCAAGCACGCCAAGTGGTCAAGAAGGGCTCTTACTTACATGGTAAAGTTGTGGATGAAAGCCCCTTTCGGGATCTGGACATCAAAGACCAAGTTCTGGGAATGTCTGGCTCTGTTTTCCACTTTGGTCTGGACCATGGTATTGGCCAGACGGGATGTAATGGTGGACTGGACTTTATAGCTGTGGAGGACTATGTTGTCATCACCAGCTACCTAGAATGAGCAAAATATTATTATGGGACTCCAAGGAAGAATTGGATGCAGTTCTAGGATGCATCCAGAAAATACCCCAAGGAATGTATTATTACCCGAGAGAGGGAAACATAAGCATTACACCCATTAATTATTGTTCGTGGAAGTATTGTCAGTTGGATGAGAAGTCCTCGAGGACACAAATCTTGGAATTAATGCTGGATTAAATAGATTGGAGTCTGGAGTAGTTCCAAATACTGGGGTTTCTTTTTACACATGTGTTCATTCTTTTGGGAGTGGTGGTATAGAAGTCAATCCATTAAATAAATAAGGAAATGCTTTAAGTTTGGGAAAGCCTGGAACTATAAGTAAAATAATTATTTTCATATTATCTTTTGGGGTTTTATTGCAGGACATTTTATGGATAACACAATCCATGGATATTCAGGTCCCATTATACACAATGCTATAGTAAAAAGGTGTCCATAACTGGCATATAAAATGGCAAAATTAAGAATTGCTTTTTGACGGTGATATTTTCAAGCAGTGGATATAGAATCTGTGGATACAGAGGACTGACTCACTAGTTTGTGATGATGCAGGTCTTTTTGCATCCCATTTCAGGAGAAATATGGGAAATTGGGTTGCTGTGAGTTTTCTGGGCTGTATGCATTCTCTCCTGAAGTTTCACCCACATCTATATAAACCTCACTTGCCTAGTTTCCAACAGACCTCCCAACCTCTGAGGATGCCTGCCATAGATGTGGGCAAAACGTCAGGAGAGAATGCTGCTGGAACATGGCCATACAGCCCAGAAAACTCACAGCAACCCAGTGATTCCGGATATGAAAGCCTTCAACAACAATATGGAAAATGCATCCAATAACCAGATAAATAAACAATTTTTTGAGCAGTGAGCCATTGTGAATCTGCATTCCTGCATTCTTAAACAATATTGTGAAATAGAAGGCAACTAGTTTTTTTTTTCCCTTTAAATTCCAGCTGGTTAATATCCTGGAAATGAGTTGGCAAGGAGAAAAAAAAAACCCTAAGCAAATAGTGGGATTGATCTCCAGCTAATGTTTAACTTGGGGGGAAGGAGGGAGGAAGTTGCTTTGCAGAAAAATGAATAATCAATATGAAAGCTCACCGATTCTCCTGAGTCGTCACCATTGGATGTGCTTCTCTAGAAAACACAATGAGAAAGGAAATGAGAATTTGAAAACAGGATACATCTACACTGTTGAATTAATGCAGTTTAAGACTACTTTAAATGCCAGGGTTCAGATCTATGGGATCTTAGAGTTGTAGTTTGATGAGGCACAGAGGAGGTTGAAGACCTTGTAAAATTACAACTCCCGTGTTTCGACAGTATTGAGCCATGACAGTTTAAGCACACTCTCAGACAAGTTTGGATGAAAAGGAATAGACTCAACATGGATGTGTACAGTACAAACAATAACTTCAAGGGTTGCTGTGAGTTTTCCGAGCTGTATGGCCATGTTCCAGAAGCATTCTCTCCTGATGTTTCACCCACATCTATGGCGGGCGTCCTCAGAGGTTATGAAGTCTGTTGGAAACTGGGCAAGTGGGGTGTCTATATCTGTGGAATATCCAGGATGGGAGAAAGAACTCTTGTCTGTTGGTGGCAAGCATGACTGTTGCAAATGACCACCTTGATTAGAATTTAATGGCCTTGCAGCTTCCAAGCCTCGCTGGTTGCTGCCTGTCAAGCATACAAGAGTTCTTTCTCCCACCCTGGACATTATTCCACAGGTATATAAACCCCATTTTCCTAGTTTCCAACAGACCTCACAACCTCTGATGATGCCTACCATACATGTGGGCAAAACGTCAGGAGGGAATGCTTCTAGAACATGGCCAGAGAGCCCGGAAAACTCACAGCAACCCTTGTTTGTACTGTACATGTCCATGTTGAGTCCATTCCTTTCCATCCAAACTTGTCTGAGAGTGTGCTTAAACTGGCCATGAAAGCCTTTGACAACACAACGACTTCAAGAATTGGAAACTCTACTATTTAGACTGAAATTCCAGAGTTTCCTGGCTAGTCTTGGCCATTACTTAGAAATGGAATTGGAGTTGAAAAAGATTATTTTTAAAATGCAAACAATTCAGTTACAACATAATTATTAAAAAATATATAAGCACCTATTAAAAAGCAATTCAACTAAAACAATGGACATTTCCTCCATCTCTATTCTGTTTTCAATGTCCACTTACATCAGAATTTTCTACTTCCATCTCCTTCCAACCTGGCATTGTTATCTATGTTGAATTCCAACCCCATCATCCCTGGCCAAGTCATTTACTTCAAGCCGATTCTTGGATTTCTACTTCTGGACGCACACAAGCAAAACAGCATCCTTGGACTTAGTCCCATGATTTTAGTTACACGCGATCTTACTATTTTTTAAAATGTATAAATCATCTTGAAGCCCAATCTTTGGGAATGAGTAAAATATAAATAAAGTGATTGATTGCTTCATAGTTTAGTAAAGAAGCGACTGTACCTGAATCCTGCCCTTTCGCAGCACGGATCTTGAAACAATTCCATCCACCTCCCAGTCAAACAACTTGTCCAGATCCTACAAGGAGAGTCACAACAAGAGCAGTGAAGCAGGGCAATATGCTTAACTTCAGAGGCAATTGTTAGCACATTAGGAAGCGAAAGAAGGACGAGCCAACAATATGATCAACTCAAAATGATAAGACTTCCCCTGTGCCTGTTTTCCATTTACTCACTTACTTAGGCAATCCCTCATAGCCCAAGGATGATGGTCCTCCAAGTGTAGTGTCTTGGTGATGGGTTCGTAGGTGGCTATGGAGCCCTATTCTTGATCCACATTCTCTCCCACAGTGAGGACATCGGTTTCCAGGTGAAAGGTGGTCTCGGTTAGGGTTGGCTTGATGTGTCTTCCTCTTGGCACGTTTCTCCCTTTTGCCCTCCATTTGTGCCTCTTTAAATTCTGCAGCACTGCTGGTCACAGCTGACCTCCAGTTAGAGCACTCAAGGGCCAGGGCTTCCCAGTTCTCGGTGTCTATGCCACAGTTTTTAAAGTTGGTTTTGAGCCCATCTTTAAATCTCTTTTCCTGTCCACCAACATTCCGTTTTCCGTTCTTGAGTTGGGATTATAGTAACTGCTTTGGGAGACGGTGATCAGGCATTTGGTCAACGCGGCCAGTCCAGAGGAGTTTATGGCATAGGAGCATCACTTCAATGCTGCTGGTCTTTGCTTCTTCCAGCACTCTGGCATTTGTCCACCTGCCTTCCCAAGAGATTTGCAGGATTTTTCGGAGGCAACGCTGATGGAATCATTCTAGGAGTCTGTAGATGGTCCACATTTTGCAGGCATATAACAGGGTTGGGAGGACAATAGTTTTATAAACAAGCACCTTGGTCTCCCTATGGATGTCCCAGTCCTCAAACACTCTCAGCTTCATTCGGAAAGATGCTGCACTTGCAGAGCTCAAGCGGTGTTGTATTTCAGTGTCAATGTTGGCTTTTGTGGAGAGGTGGCCCCCAAGAGTGCAGAAATTTGTCCAAGAAATGAGTTTTTGTTGCATCTACAGAGGGCATGGGCAAACTTTGGCCCTTCAGGTGTTTTGGACTTCAACTCTCACCACCATTCCTAACAGTCAGTAGGGAGTTGAAATCCAAAACACCTAGAGGGCCAAGCTTTGCCCATGCCCCCTTTAAAGTGTACTTTTAATGCCGTCCGACACCACTTTAACTACCATAGCTAAATGCTATGGAATCATAAGAGTTGTCGTTTGGTGGAACACCAACACTCTTTGGCAGAGAAGGCAAAAGACAATATAGATGCACCTTTCTATATTGATCACTTTATCTAGATGCACTTTGCATTCTCATTCTCCAGACTAACACAGCAATATATTTGAATTCTCTTAGCACAAAAAAAAAAAAGACTTGGAAATTGTTGAGGAAAGCAAAGGAATAAAATGCAAAAGCTGAATGATAGCTGAAGAAAACAAACATAAAGACCACAGGTGATTTATATACAACTTTAAAGTGGATGACAAAAATATCACATCAAAACAGTTAAAGATGTTTCCTTGCCTTGGCTAAGCCATTCATCAAAATGTAGATAAGGAATCAGAAGAAAACTAAGATGTAGAGGAATAGTTATGAAGAAAAGAGATACAATCTTCAAATGTAAAGATATAGAATTGAATTTCAAAGTCGGAATTCTCCTTGCTATAATAATTATAATAATAATTATTTTTAGTAGTATTTTATTTCTTACCTACCTCTCCTAAACCAGTATTTATCAACCTGGGGGTCTGGACCTCTGGAGGGGTCATGAGGGGATGTCAGAGGGGTCACCAAAGACCATCAGAAAACACAGTATTTTCTGTTGGTCATGGGGGTTCTGTGTGCCAAGTTTGGTTCAATTCCATCATTGGTGGAGTTCAGAATGCTCTTTGATTGTAGGTGAACTATAAATCCCAGCAACTACAATTCCCAAATGTCAAGGTCTATTTTCCCCCAACCCCAACAGTGTTCACATTTGGGCATAGTGGGTATTTGTGCCAAATTTGGTTCAGTGAATGAAAATACTTCCTGCATGTCAGATATTTACATTACAATTCATAACAGTAGCAAAATTTTAGTTATGAAGTAGCAACAAAAATAATGTCAAGGTTGGGGGTCACCACAACATGAGGAACTGTATTAAGGGGTTGCAACACTAGGAAGGCTGGGAAACACTGTCCTAAACAGACATATAAATGGGTCCCAGAGCAAAGCAAGCCTGAATCTACCCTAGAAGACAGAATGACTAAACTGTGAGGCTATCATACTTCGGACACAAGAGAAGATACAACTCAGCAAAGTAGAAGGCAGTAGGAAAAGAAGAAAACTATATTACAGGTTAATAAACTCAGTCAAGAAAGCCAAAGCCTGGAATTTACAACCACAGCTGTTAATAACTATGTTTTGTATACATTATAGGAAAGTACAAATAAATGTTAAACAGTAAACAAAAATAAAAATCTATTAACTATGCTGGAAATGGCCTGCCTTCTCTCCCTCCCTCCTTCCTCTCTTTTGCTGATTCCCTGGAGACCCACTGCAAAATTGAGTGCAGACATCTGAATAGTTTTATATTCAAGTGACACTAGTTAGTTGTGCACTTTGATAGGTTTGTACCAGCCAGGAGAAACAGTGGGATAATTGAGGTTGCCAATTTTTTTGGGTATATCTCAGTCATAAGGATCATAGAATCAAAGAATCAATGGGTTGGAAGAGACCTTGTGGGCCATCCAGTCCAACCCCCTGCCAAGAAGCAGGAAAATCACAATCAAAGCACCCCAAACAGATGGCCATCCAGCCTCTGTTGAAAAGTCTCCAAAGAAGATGCCTCCACCCCACTCTAGGACAGTGGTTCTCAACCTGGGGTCCCCAGATGTTTTTGGCCTACAACTCCCAGAAATCCCAGCCAGTTTAGCAGCTGTGATGATTTCTGGGAGCTGAAGGCCAAAACACCTGAGGACCCACAGGTTGAGAACCACTGCTCTAGGACATTGAAGCCAGCATGTAAAGAATATAAAGCTGATGGAAAGGAGAGCCCTTGCCAGGTCTTCTGTTGGGGAAAATAGATGCTTACCTCTGCATTTTCTTCAACAACGAACTCAATACTCCATATTTCCAAAGCAAGAAACAGCACCACAAAACAAGCCAGATGGACCACCTTCATCTTTGAACCACCACCAAATGTATGAACCAGGCAGCGTGTTGCTCTACTCTGTCGAACCAAGTTCAAGGGACAGGAAACACCCCTACGACGTGAGGCCCACTCGTATTTTGATGGGTATTGAGAAATCCTAACTTTGTCCTGCCTCTTGCCATGGGCAAATATTTGCCCAGTAATGCAAGTGGGGGCACAGGTTAGGGTTTGTGTAAACAGAGCCTTTGCTGGACCAACATCCTCTGATAATGGCTCAGCCCTGGATAGGCTCCGCTCCATTTTGCTTTGTGGTTTTGCCCTCTGCTGCCTTTGGACTGCATCGTGTTCAGAAGAGGCCAAGCGGAGGACTGTTTGGGAGCAAGAAGGTGAGATGACTGAGATGAAAAGAGAGGGAAACATTCAGAGTAAGGATGACGTACGATAGGTATGGCCAAGTTGGCAACATCACCCACCTCTCTGTATTTTCCAGCTGATACAAACTTATCAAAGTATCTAAGTAGTGAAATGAATGCGAAACTATCTGGTTTTCTGAACTCAAGTTGGCAGTAGCTAACAAGACGGAAAGAGGGAAGGAATGAAAAAAATAGAGGAAAATCAAGCAAGGAAGAAGGGCAGGCAGGCTAACACATTGTTTATTAAATATAGTTAATACACAAACACACACCATAACTATGTGAGATATTTCCTCAGACTTCACACAGATATGCAAAATTACAAAGAATAGCAAACTCCATTGAAATGAAGGATCTCTGGCCCAAGAACAATGTAGAATTGTTAAAGGACCTTTTCATAGAATCATAGAATCAAAGAGTTGGAAGAGACCTCATGGGCCATCCAGTCCAACCCCCTGCCAAGAAGAAGAATATTGCATTCAAATCACCCCTGACAGATGGCCATCCAGCCTCTGTTTAAAAGCCTCCAAAGAAGAAGCCTCCACCACACTCCGGGGCAGAGAGTTCCACTGCTGAACAGCTCTCACAGTCAGGAAGTTCTTCCTCATGTTCAGATGGAATCTCCTTTCTTGAAGTTTGAAGCCATTGTTTTGTCCTAGTCTCCAGGGAAGCAGAAAACAAGCTTGCTCCCTCCTCCCTGTGGCTTCCTCTCACATATTTATACATGGCTATCATATCTCCTCTCAGCCTTCTCTTCTTCAGGCTAAAGATGCCCAGCTCCTTAAGCCGCTCCTCATAGGGCTTGTTCTCCAGACCCTTGATCATTTTAGTCGCCCTCCTCTGGACACATTCCAGCTTGTCAATATCTCTCTTGAATTGTGGTGCCCAGAATTGGACACAATATTCCAGGTGTGGTCTAATCAAAGCGGAATAGAGGGGGAGCATGACTTCCCTAGATCTAGACACTATGCTCCTATTGATGCAGGCCAAAATCCCATTGGCTTTTTTTGCCACCACATCACATTGTTGGCTCATGTTCAACTTGTTGTCCATGAGGACTCCAAGATCTTTTTCACACGTCCAGGTTTTATCAAACCTGGATAAATAAAACTATAGACATAAGTCCTGTAGTCACAGGAGACTATTAAACTATATAGTAAACCATCTGAGCGACAGCAAAAGCTATCTTCATTACTTTTCTGGACTACTGCATCCAGAATTTCTCAACCAAATTGGCCAGTTAGTGAAGAGATGCTGAGAACCTGTCACACAAAACAGTTGCCTTCCCAAGTTATGTTTTTCATACATAATGTGAGAAAGACAGCTTAGATCCACCTCTTACGTCACATGGTCCCAAGTAACTTGTTAGGCTTAAGTGTCAGAAGAGGAATATTTACATGTAATTTTGTAGGTGGTAAGGAATCCTCTTTGGCAATCCGTTCTCAGGTGGCATATGGTAGGGGGCAGCACCAAAGACAACCTCGTGGAAGTTTTCCCCTTACTCAAGAGTTGTCGTCAACCCCCCCCCTCCCCCCTGGGTCAAACAAAACCTTGACTGGTTGCTCAGCATAGCTAAGCCTGGGTTCTCGAGCTGTGTGATCACAACAAGGGGAACAAGAGGAAGATGCTTATGAAAATGGCAGTGTCTGTTTACTTCCCTCCAATGAGTAAATGATCTCAGCAGAAGGCAAACATCAGTGTAGTTTGGGAGTTAAAATAGTTTGAGATTTTCCATACCTTGGATCAATCATTAATCAGAATGGAGACTGCAGTCAAGAAAACAGAATAAGACTTGGAAGGGGAACTAGAAAGGAATTACACAAGATCCGCATGTGAAAAAAATATATTATCTATATATATACAAATGCTCTGTTCGTTTTGAGTGACATCATATCTCAAAATCCACTGGATGAATTGCCACCAAATTTGGCCACAAGACACCTACTAACACAAGGAGTGACTATCACTCCAAAAAAAGTTGATTTTGTCTTTTGAGAGTTGTAGTTGCTGGTATTTATAGTTCACCTACAATCAAAGAGCATTCTGAACTCTACCAATGATGGACTTGAACCAAACTTGGCACACAGTTCTCCCATGACCAACAGAAAATACTGGAAGGATTTGGTGGCCAGTGTCCTTTGGTTTTGGAGTTGTAGTTCACCTACATCCAAAGATGACTGTGGACTCAAACAATGATGGATCTGGACCAAACTCTGCAAGAATACTCAATATGTCCAAATGTGAACACTGGTGGAGTTTGGGGGAAATAGAATCTTGACATTTGGGAGTTGTAGTTGCTGAGATTTATTGTTCACCTATAGTCAAAGAGCATTCTGAACCCCACCAACGATAGAACTGGGCCAAACCTCCCACATAGAACCCCCATGTGGGTAACAGCAATGCGTGGCAGGGGACGACTAGTGTGTGTGTGTGTGTGTGTGTGTGTGTGTATGTATACACACATGCACACACATGCACACACACACACACATATACACAAATGCTCTGTTCATTTTGAGTGACATCATATCTCAAAATCTGCTGGATGAATTGCCACCAAATTTGGCCACAAGACACCTACTAACCCAAGGAGTGACTATCACTCCAAAAATTGATTTTGTCTTTTGAGAGTTGTAGTTGCTGGGATTTATAGTTCACCTACAATCAAAGAGCATTCTGAACCCCATTAACGATAGAATTGGGCCAAACTTGGCACACAGAACTCCCATGACCAACAGAAAACACTAGAAGGGTTTGATGGGCATTGACCTTGCGTTTTGGATTTGTAGTTCAGCTACATGACCCAAACAATGAAGGATCTAGACCAAACTTGGCACGACTACTTAATATGCCCAAATATGAACACGGATGGAGTTTGGGGAAATAGACCTTGACATTTGGGAGTTCTGAACCCCGGCAAGAATAGAATAGGGCCAAACTTCCCACACAGAAACCCCATAACCAACAGAAAATACTGTGTTTTCTGTGGTCTTTGGCAACCCCCTGACACCCCCTTCCGCCCCCCCCCCCCCCCCGGGGTCCTGAACCTCAGGTTGAGAAATGCTGCCTGAAGGCCATCCAGTCCAACTCACTTCACCAGGGCAAGAAAAAGTAATCAAAGCCCTCCAGGCAAAGAGCCATCCAGCCATAGATATAGATAGATAGATAGATAGATAGATAGATAGATAGATATGATTCACATACACACATATATATGTACATGACAGATATAATATCATAGATTTGAAAGGGACCCCTAAAGAAGAACAATTATATGTTGCATGTTCCAGAGAAGGCAAACCAAACAATCACTACATCAACACTAACAAAGAAACAGCAAGAAATACTGTTTACCCACAAGCATAAAGGCATTACATATATTAAAAACCAATACTTTCTCATTACTTTATTTTCCAGATCACCAGACTGGGCCACAGCAATGTGTGGCAGGGGATGGCTAGTTGGATACTAAACTTATATTGTCCATGCCATCATATCTCCCATTTTTATGTTTAAGCTGGACAGTGAAAATAGCTGATAGGAAGAAAATGTGATAGCATCACATTTGAGACGTGATGCTGGATAAGGGTTCTGTAGGTGTCAAGGGTGGGTAAAAGGACAAACAAATGGGTAATAGAGCAATTCATGCCTGAACTCTTCCTAGAAGCCAAGATGACCAAACTGAGGCTGTTCTCTATATCATTAGAAAGTGCTCTTTAGAAAAGGTGATCATGCTTTGTAAGTCGAGGGCAATGGGAAAAGTGGAAGACTGCACTACTACCATGCAACCTGATCCTGTCTGATTTTGGATACCAAGCAGGGGCGGCTCATCCATTACGTGAAGTAAGCGGTCGCAGAACACTTTTTTTTGCCAGGAGTGCAGAGGCTCCTCTGTAAATGCCCCTCGACCGCCACTTGAGGAGCGCCCCCTCAGCTCACGACAGCCCTAGCAGTCCGGGGGGAGCCTCGGCTTTCTTGCCTCGCTGCCAGGTGATCCTCTTCCCAAAGGGGCCAGGCCCTTGAGCCTCGCCTAGCCCCTCTCGTTCCTGCTCCACCTGGCCACCGGGTGCGCGAGCAGAGCCGGCGCTCAATCGTTCTCCATGTTCGATCCCTTCCCCTTTCCCGATCCCCCAGCGCTCCACCCGCCTCTTTTCCTCTCCCCAATCCGCAGGTGGGCCAAGGGGCGGAGCCACCGCGCCTGGCCCGCTTCGGGTCCGGAGGCATGTCTGAAGACCCCAGCATGTGCACCAAAACTCGCCTCTTCTCCTGACTTTCTCTTCAGCCATTGGGACCAAGAGAGAGAGAGAAGCCCTCCGGCTGGAGGTATCTCCCACCTCCGCTCCCTCCTTTGTTTTTGCGCCTACCTTCAGGAAAGGTGGGCATCTCCACCTCTCTCTCTCTCTCTCTCTTGGTCCCAATGGCTGAGGAGAAAGTCAGGAGAAGAGGTGACTTTTGGTGCACACGCCGGGGTCTTCAGGCACGCCTCCGGACCCAAAGCGGGCCAGGCAAGGGAGCAAGTGCAGCAAATGTAGTTACTGGGATGTATAGTTCACCTACAATCAAAGAGCATTCTGAACTCCACCAATGATGGAATTGAACCAAATATGGCACACAGAACTCCCACGACGAACAGAAAATATATATCAACGATTGGTTGGGGGGGGGGGCCAAAATACTGTTTGCTTACCGTTGAAAATTACCTAGGGCCGCCTCTGATACCAAGCAGAATTGGAGCTGGTTAGTACGCTATGGATGGAAGATCATGATTGGATACCAAAGATCTTCAGCTGGAGTTAGGAAAGAATCCTGCATAAAACAGGATTTGATAGTCTCAATGTTCTGGTTTAGGGATTCTTATGCTCTTAGAATCATAATAAATCAATAAATCAGTACAATTGGTCA